AATTCCACTTGCATATGTGGTAGAGATGATCGAAATGGCATTAATAGCACTGAAAAACTGATTTTCTTGAGATCCTTTAATGGAATAGTCCTTAGAAGGTGCATTCTTGGAATTTCCTGATAAACAATTATTGTATAAATGAGTGTATGTAAAGAGGAAAATCTGATAATGACTAGTGATTTTTCTAACCAGTATGTATGGATCCTGCTGCGACGCAGGCGCTGTAAGCAAGACAAAGGATCAAAGAGAAAAGGTTAATATGCCTCAGAGAATGGAAAGATGGCATTTGTGCCAAGAATAATGTTGCAGCTCCAAAAATAATTATGAACTGGTACAGCTGCATTGTTCCATTTGAGTTGTGCAGCAAGTAAATGAACTGCAAGGAATAAACCAAACTGTTATGCAAATAAATAAATCAGCAGACTTCTTCAATTTTAAGGCATGGTAAGCTCTTCTTTATCCTGCTAATTTTTGTGTTCCAGAAATAGAAATCTGGAAAAACAATTGGATGCAATCTTTGAAAACCATCTCTTGATTTTCCTTTTGAGATCTCAGTGTGAGAAATATAACACGAACCTTCAGGCTCTGCCCTCCAAGAAGAGTACAGCCAATAACAGCACCATAGCATATTGAAAATTGAAGTGGCCCCACAAAAAACTTGCCCCATCCAGGTCCTGCCATTTTAAATCATCTTTCAAGTAGTTTTCACTAGTTGTTCTTCAAGAATGCCATTTGTTTTTGGTTATTTTGGCCATAAAATGAAACACATGCAGTTTGTTACTGCCAATAAATTAAGAATTCATTTCTTAAATGTGGGAGAAAATCACCTAGAATGTCTCTAGCCATGTCTCGGAATCGAATTTGCCGTTTCCCAAGCTTTTCATGGTGCTCCAAAACAGCAGATAGAAGATTGTATGCATAGAAAGTCACTAAAGCTGCAAGAGTTATGATTAGAACTCCAGGTACCCAGCCTAGTAAGGCCAGAGCAAAGGGAAGGCTAAAGATCACCGGACCGACGATTGATGTTGTCAAATGAAATCCACAGTGTATCCAAGATCCTACATCAATTTTACACAGAATTTACAGCTGTTTTCTGTTTGCTTGAAAAGAAATTTGTTTCTACTCAGAATCATGTGTAAACTACTAACCTCTTGATTGGAGGACGAACAAAGCTCCAGCATCAAGTTCTGTTGAAGAATCAATGACCCCCTTTTCCTTATCTATTTTTGATATGTTCATGGAGTTTGGAACCACCGTTGCCATCTGTCTCTAGTGTGCTTTGAGCCAGAGCAGCGCACAGTATCTACGCAACTGGAGATCCAAGTATACGCTATATATCTAAGAATTAATGATATGAACAGATAAGACAGCAAAGCAGTCAATCAAGCTACTCGACTGGTCATCCTTGACGGCTAAAGACGGCTATGATTCCACCATCATAAATTTAAAGATTTTGGCACTGTATTTTCAGTCCAGCAAAATAGTTCGGTGACCTTTCCCTTTTTGTCAAGGCTTCGAGTTATACTAAAGTTGACTTTTAATGATGCTAGTTTTAGGTTTTTTTTTTTTCAGATTAACGTGAGTGTTCGGACCAGCTTGCGCGCACCACGACTAATCCTATGGGTTCTGGAATTAACGACTATGTAAGTCTCCAATAGCCATTATATGAGCAACCAAGGATTCGAACCTGAGACTACAGAAATAACAAACCCCTTAATCCCAAGTTTTTACCACTTGGCCACCATCTAGATAATTAACTTTGCCTAACTTCAACCAGGTAAGAACCAAATCATGGAAACTTCAACTAATCTTGGTCTTTTGTAAATGTTTGCTTTCAGTGTAATTTGATAGCGTCAGTCAAAGTTGAAGCCTAAGTTTGAATTCAGTACGCAAATACTTCAATGTCAAAAATTCTAAATAGCTTATGTATGCTTTATTTCCTAAAAAAGATGCATCATTGTCATCCAGTGATGTACTTTATGAAAATGGCTAAGATACGAGGCCTGAATTTCAATAATGGTTATTGGAGTTGCTTGTTCTCCTGAATTTTCACATTTAAGTTTTTGAGTTTAACTAGTTGTTTGATATGGCATAAGAGCCTTAATAACTAAATAATGATGGATTTGAATCTTACTGCTCTCAATTCGAACAGCTTTCACTTGAGATGCCGCGAGGCAAATTTGTTTAATCTTGCACCATGTTTAATGTTTCTTTTCTTGTTGTAAAAGAGGGAAGATCATTAAACTTGGTTGATTCTTGCACAAGAGAAAAAATAACAGTTGCGACTTGCAACCGTTAAACATTAGCAAACAAGCTATACGTGCTGGCATCGAGAATTATTTGCCGAATTGAGGATATTGCCCCCAACACTCCTACTGCCGAACAGATTATGGCAATTGATGCGTTTCCCCAAAACATCAAGCCCTTCTTGGATGGCTTGAAAGTCACATTGTAGAATATCACAGGCAAAATGAAGTCTAGAGGAATGAATCCAAATGCTCCAATCACTGCATTAATATCACCGAAGAAAGGAAACATTGCAGCAATAGCTGTGGCTATGATTACTGATAATGACCGGGAAACCAACCTTGGCACAACATTGCGGATGGAGAACTGATCAGACTTTGCATCTGCAAACTTCCGTTCAAACACATCATTTGTTGGCTGCAAGTAAACCTGCACAAACAGAAGCATTCTGATTAAATCACTGCACGAGGTGTAATTCACGATTTCGGCAATCGCCGTGAATAATGTTCTAAGCCACTTATGCGTAATTGCAAGGATTAATGCTTTGCAAAGAAGGTATAATGCGTTGAAGTCGGTTTGACTTTGTTCTTGTAGCTAAACTGAGAATGTGTTAATGCTTAGAAACATAAAGATTTTTCGTTAGAAATCTGTGTGACAAAGAAGAACCCAGGTGTCTAATGACATTATCATCCAAAACAGGACTGGCCTTCACTGACTGCCATTTCTAGCTAGCAGCAATGAACATCTTACCACGCTGACGGCTGCTACTTGCAAGAGGGTGAGAACATTGATCATCAAGAGAACCCAAGTGGGAAGTAAAGGCTTTTCGTCAACCATAAAATTAGTTAAAATTACTCCCTTAGTCTGATTGCCAAATGCCCAATATCCAGAGATTGCAACACTGAAAAATGTCATTATTATGACAGCATAGCAGACCAGTAGACCTTTGAACATTTTCCCCTCGACCGGAGGTGCTACAGTTGCCTACAAACAGAAAGAGAACACATTGAGGACATAGTCCTTCCAGGAACCGATGTCTGCCGTTTTACTAATCTATAAACAAACCTTGTATAACAAAGAAAACCTGTATTTCAGGAATAATTCCATTTCCGTAGGTTGTAGCAATGATTGAAATAGCATTGAAGGCTCCAAAGACTCGATTCTGCATAGCTCCAATGATAGAATAGTCTTTTGGAGGCGCGTTCTTAGAGTTTCCTGCAAGGGATATAGAACATGGATCAAGGACAAAATATCCTTGAAGGATTTTTATGTATTCCTTTCTTTTTTCCTCTTACCTATATGAACAGAACCAGCCGTGGTACAAGCACTGTAAGCAAGAGCAAGGACTAGAGAGACAAGGTTGATATGCCGTAGGGAGTGGAAGGATGGAATCTGAGCCAGGATTAGCATCAGGATGCCAAAAATACTAACAAATTCGTACAGCTGCATGCTTCCCTTTGGAGTAGAGAGCAAGTAAATGAACTGCCAAGAAGGGGAAATACACCAGAAAACCAACCATCATAACTTTCTCTTGTCAATCCTTTATTAGCTAAACCACTACTGTAAACTGACCTTGAGACTCTGCCCCCCAAGAAGAATGCAAGCAATAACTGCACCATAGCATACACCAAACTGAATCGGACCAACAGAGTATCTCCCCCATGCTGGTCCTATAAGAAGACCATGAATTGATCGTTACAAAAATCAATTTTTGCTGCAATACATGAATCTTAATATTAAGCCTGTAGAGACAAGTTAACCTTATACTGTTTACATACCTAATATATCTTCAGCCATGACCCTGAACCTGAGCTGACGCCTCCCTATCTGAGCATGGTGCTCAAGAACTAATGAAAGAAGATTATAGGAATAGAATGTTATCAGAGCTGCCAGTGTCAGGCATAAAACACCAGGAAACCAACCCATCAAGGACAGGGCGTAGGGAAGACTAAGAAGAGCCGGAGCCACAATTGATGTTGTCAAATGGTATCCACAGTGCAGCCATTAACCTACCACAACACAAAAATTAATTTGCCATATCATATTCTAAGCATTTAGTCACTCAAAGTACCAGTGTTTTACTGTTACCTCTTGCTTTCAGCACAAACAAGGCTCCAGCATCAAGTTGCTCGGAAGAGATTGGTCCTTCTTCGCTATCTATTTCAGATAATTCCACGGAAGTAGGAAGTAGAGTTCCCATATCTCTATATCCTTAAGGCTAGGTAAATAGAATCTCCGGTACTCGGGCTAAAAGGATAGAATCTTCTTCTTCTTCTTCTTTTCTTTTCTTGTTAACGATGACCCATTAATCAACGCAAAATATGGACAAAAACAAAGAAGCCAACATCTACTGGCCTGAAGACAAGCGGTCACTTCAACCGCGGAAAGATTCTATATCACTTTGAAGACTTTGATCCTAGTAAGGTGGACCAACTGTTTTGGACTTCCATAGATCAATAAAAACTGATGGGTTCATAAGGCCCAATCATAGTTAATGTTGCACAAGAACCCGCCTAGTGCTGGCCCAAGGTATTTTTTAATTTAATATTTTATTCATTTTTTTTAAGTTTAGTGATCCTATTATAATTTAAATATTTTCATTTTAAAATATATTAAAATAATATTTTTATTTTAAAAAAAATTATTTTTAATACAAATACATTAAAACAATTTAAAAATATAAAAAAATTAATTTTAAATAAATAAAATAAAATTTTTAAAAACAAGATTTCAAGAAACTGCGAAACATCAAATTCAGACACCATCGCACAAGAACCTCAACAGACAGAACTAAAACCCCGCCGGCTTGAGTTACAGAAATCAGCTTAAGGAAACAAACACAGCATCTCACACTTTCTCTGTAAATATACATGCAAAGCATGGTAATTTCGAAGCATAAATAAATAAAATTATAAAGAGACTAATAAGTTGTAAATAATTTGGAAAAATGGTAGAAGTAGATGCGGTGACCAAAAAGAAGAACAAAACAAAAGAAAGAAGATGCAAAAGGAGGACTCAAATGTTTCAGCTCTTGTTGCTTCCATTATAGCTTCCAAAAAGCGCAGCCTGTCAGGAAAACGTCGGATGTGCCAGGTAAGTAAAGGAAGGGAACTTGTGCATTGTTTTTTGAAGTATATTTGGGTTTTGTTGATTAGTTATTGAGATTAAAGTTGAGTTATTTATTTATTTATGTTTTGAATGGTTTAGAGTGACAAAGATGAGAAATTGTGATGTGGGTTTTGCTTCTTCTTTTTTTTGTTGATTTTAGTGGTTTGTGTTGTTTGTTAGGAGATTTATGAATTTGAACCAGAATCAGGAATTGGTAGAAGGAGGTTTTGCTTGCTTGTTTGTTTGATTGATGTGTGTATCATGGGGCATTGCAAGCACTTGCATTTGCTGTTGTTTTTTGATTGAGATATCAGATGTTGTGCTTAAGAAAACTAAGACTTGTTTCCAAGCAAAATATGAGCTTGTTGGGTTTTCTTTTGGGAAATAACTTGGTGTGTTATTATTTTATATTAATTAACATTTGTGTAACTTACAGCGTGTTAAAAAATGATCGGCAGGGGATGTGTTTTAGCCTTCCTACTCCAAATGATCCATTCAATGACAGGAATGGTAAACTCTCTCTCCCTCGTGTGCATGAATGCTCGTGTAAATAACAAAAATTAAAATGACTGCTTTTCTGTTCTCACTAAAAGTTCTCGCCTCCAATATAGTTTGGCAAGTTGCGAGCCTGAATTTCTTGTGTCCACACCTGAGAAACTTTTGGAGCTTGTTTCCCTGAAGGCTATGGATTTATCAGGGTTCACCTTTCTGGTAATGTTTTAAGCTTTTATTTTACAAGAACTTTTGTTCTAAGTTTATCGTCATGGTTTCTAATCTCTAGATTTTACAGATGAAATAATCATACATTTTGCACACACATTACATTACAATTCTCCTCTTGAAAGCTTGCGTTGCTTTGAATTGATACATTTTCTGTGATTGACTCAAAGTTTTCTGAAAGTTGTTTACAGATGGTCCTTCATATAATAGACGTGAGTCACTATCTTGTCTCCCCTTATTTCTAGCAACTTTGGACCTGTCTGATTGGATTACAAAATACAGTAGCATAGCAGTCTAGTAAGGATGGTGGAATATGATTGCACTATGCATATCTAGTGTGTTGAGTGGGTACTGTTAAGTAGCATAGCAGTCCTGTCCAGTAAGGATTATGAAATATGGTGGAACTATGCATATCAAGTGCATTGAGTGGGTGCTGTGTGCTGCATTTTCTGTGTTTTGAGCCATTGTGATGATCAGCTGTTTGGAATTTGATGATTTCTTATGTGTTCTATGCTCAAATAAATCTCTTAAAAAAGATTTTTGGGATCTATTGTTTATTCCTGTTTTATTGATTTTGTGATATGATAGGTTGTTGATGGAGTGGAATCTCTTTATAAAGGTGGTTGTCTTGATGCTCTTAAAGCCATTAGGCAATCTATTTCTGTTTGTCCCCGGCCTGTGGTTTTCAACAATTTCCTTAGTTGTTCTTGCGTTCTGGCTTTACAGAATCTTCTCCTGGGAACACTTTTAGATTTTCTCTCAATCTGTCTATTCCCAGTCAAAGTGCATGCGTTGTGCAAACAACAAATGTGTGCACTTCTGACGAAATAAGACTTATAATGGTGTTTATATCTCAATATCTAGATATCTGCTTTCTACTTTTTATGTGAATATTTGTACATGGAGCAAGTTATCACACCTGCAACCAGATTCTGGCTCAAGGTGCTTCAAAGTCCATTACCATAAGCTATAGCATTTCCTAAAGTTCTAGTTGCGCAAAGTCTATACTGTATAAACTATAGCGAAATAATATAGTATGATAATGTATTCACTGGCAGTGTCCTTGATGTTTGTGACTTTTTTACACGGAATCCAAGTTTTGAATCATGCTTTTCACAGCCAACTCGCCTCTCAACCCTTAAAGGTGCTATATGTAGTTGGAAATGATAGTAACTCTTTCAATTTAGTTAAGATGCTCAAAATCAATGGTTATGCTGTCTCTACTGGCTCTAATCACAATATTTCAGATGATGATAACAGGTCAGTACTTTATTTATGCCTGTTAACTATTCTTTTCTCCAGTAGTGTTGTTTCTGCGTGCCTTTTCATTTCATATTATTTTTCTCATCTTTAACTGAAATTTTGGTGCTGACACGTTTCTTATCTTGAGACTCAAGCAGCAAATGGGATGTTAGAGGATAGAAGGTAGACAAAAGTTTGAATGGTACTACAGTATATAAATGTTAGAAATCAGGCAATTATGGAATAATGTAATAATAATTACTACGGTGACACATGTTATAAATACTATCTTATAAAACCAAGCTGATTTTCTGCTAAGCTTCTCCTATTCTGGTTTTAGGCTTAAACTTCAAATTGGGGTCGTGGAACAGAATTGGGTAACCTGATTTATCCTGTTTGCTACCACTTCTAAGGTTGCTCTTCGGCACAAAGTTCTTCTAGTCATGGGCTCTTATAACTTATTTTTGTTTGCTTTGTTCAGCCTGGATATGAATGTCAGAAGGAAACCTCTGGTCTCCGTGATCAATGTGGAGCACATCCTACTACTGATTTAGCTTTCTACGAAACTGTAATCTTACCCAATTTTGTTCAGTCAATTGATAATTATGTTCAAATCCTCACAAGAATGGCCAGGCACACTATCAATGGCGTCCCCCATAGCTTTTTAACCAAAGAAGATGCACCGATAGCTGGACCACTTAACAAAATTCTTGAGCAATGTGGGCAGGCACTGCCTGATGCCATGAGAAACTTGCATCTCACATGATCCATGTTGGAATCATGAAGCTTCAATTTTTGCTCATCATTACTTCATCCCCATTCTTTACAGGTCCTAGAATGTCTTCACCAGAAGCAACGATTGCATTGTCAGTACCCAGTTTCTATCCTGGACGGGTCTCGCAAATGGTGATAATTTATAATGTGCAACATCCTCTCAGTGGTTTTGAAGATAATATAGATGAGAGCCTGAGTTATTTCTGGTTCCATGCATGGTATAGCAAGCCAGAATGGCTGTGTTAGTGAAAATTTGTGAACATTTTAGTTTCTTTGAGTTGTCTTTCATTCTCTTGGTGGTTACCTAACAGAATGATGTCACAGTTTTGTCTCCAGAATATATACCACTATCGTTTTTCACACTCAAGATATTATATTTGCCCTATCTCCCTCCTTCGACACTATTTTGGCTTGCCAATCATGCTTTTATCTGATTTTAAATGCAAATTGTTGATGGTAGGTTGGAATTTGGTAGAAATTTAATGTCATTTGTCACATGCAAAACCAATTTCGAGTTTATTACCACATGCATACGCTAACCAAAGTTTTTGTTCTCTCTTAGTTTTTTTGTTGCAGGGAACAATCCTACAAGGTCAAGTCAGGCGTTAACTGGCCTCCGTCACCAAGTCAGTAGTCGTGTAAAAATCAAGCAAATTTTATGACATTTCAAGACCGCGTATCCCATGGATAACTCGTAACAACTAAAAAAACCATAGGAGTTTTGTCATACACAGAGCAGATGTTGATGTTCTGAGCTTGTTTCGTCTTTTTCAAGTTTGTATTTATACTAAATAAATGTATACGTGCATGTTTTAGATCTGATATGGTTTGGATTGGATTTCAGTTCAGATGTTGTGAAAACCAAAACTTTAGGATTTTATCACAATCCAAACCAAAATCATTTTTTTACCTGAAAAAACTTACCCATTCGGATACCATTGTTGCCCCTGCGCTCCTATAGTAAATGAAACTTATGGAACTCCAGCAAGCTTAGTTTGTCAACTTTTCAATAAATCAATTAAGGGATTTGAACCTGAAACTTTAGGCTAAATGGATTCCTTATCTCATTGTAAATAGTCTATAAAAATGGATTTTTTTATGGATTTAAATTAATAACTCGAAAAAGTAATTTAGAGGTCCAGTATTCGGAATAACGTCAATGACCAGTCTCGTGGTTAACTTGAAAGACTTTAATAAAGAAAACGGCATGAGGATCCATGACTGTATGACACAATATACAATGGGAGCTTCTCATGTATTTGAGATTTGATATATATAGAGAGAGAGTTAATAAGGTTTCGAAAAGGCGCGCGGAAACAGGTTTTTCTCTTTCTTATTTTTGAGAAAGAAATGCTGATGAGAGCTTGAGGTGGGCAGGCTGGAATTTCCTGTTGGTCTTCACATTTTGAAGAGCAAGCTGTTGGACCAGATATGTTGACGGACGGTATGGTATCTTCTGGGGAGAGGGTGGTTGGTAGGCAGTAGTGGGGTATGATGAGAAACAAATATTAGCACATAAAAATGATGTTTTAGCAACCAATATCACATACCCAAAACCTAAAAAATATACATATACATGAATTTCTTGATGATATAGCTTCGGTTATATCTCTTCCTTCTGCTCTCTTTCATTTCATCGATCCCTGTTCGTTTGAGCTAGACATCGCACCTCCTTCCCATCTCACAATCATTCTATTCTTATCTTCCAAGGTTTACCCAGAAATTAAAGCCTTCACACGTACAGATATCCTCCTTGCAATATTAGAGTTTTTCTTTTCTTTATTTGGACTGCAGAAGCCCGAAAACGATGCCTTGTCTTGCAAGATTAGCTAACCAATGTAACAGTTCCCATTGAGTTGAAATTAGTATAATTTATCTGCTGGCAATGGTTTCTTAATTAATAATGTTTTCCCAATATTCTATCGCCTGTAAGTTAAGCTGTCGGCAGGCTCTTAATGCGATATAATTATTTAATATATTCAACGTAGAACTATATATGTTGAGATAGTTTTTATGGTAATTGACCTCCAATTATGATGCTCTTGCCTTTCCTTTTCCACATCAAATCTTCTTGGTCTAATGCAATCATGGCTCTAACTTTTTTATTCTTGAATGATTAACAGGAATTATATTTTTAAATAAATAAACTATAGAGATCCCATTGGTACGACGTCTAAAGAAGGCATCTGGTACCATTGCGTGTGGTCATTTAATGAGTCAAATAACTGCAGATTCTCCCATACAGCGAAGCTGAAATTAATTATTGGTGTTACTTTGGTGCTCTCTAGTGTATATGTTTTGTTGATCTGGAAGAAAACACACGAGGCAGCTTCAAGACATGACAGCACATCTAGGTGACTTCGGACTGGCAAGATTTCTTCAAGAACCCAACAATGGTGGTCAAACAAACTTTATTGGATTAAGAGGAACATTCGGTTATGCAGCCCCAGGTAAATATAATTCTTCTGATTCTTAATTTAGTCTTTCATTGTTCAGGAAAAAATATTTCTCTGACAAGTCTATTGTAAAAATTGCTGTCATGTTGCTCGAAGCTCCATATTTTTATGCTGTTGTTGAGTATGACTTCGGAAGCGACGTTTTGACAGAAGGCGATGTGCACAGTTATGACATCCTCTTGTTAGCGATGTTCACTTGGAAAGATCCACTACTGATGTGTCCGGAGAGGGTTTAGATCTTCACAGATCTGCTAGCATTGCTTTGCCTGAACGAAGATTGAAGACACTATTCTAGTAATTCTACCTGAGGAAGTAGTTACTACGGAGAAACACAGAGGCCAAACAGTTTATGAGGCCTGAATTTCAATAATGGTTATTGGAGTTGCTTGTTCTCCTGAATTTTCACATTTAAGTTTTTGAGTTTAACTAGTTGTTTGATATGGCATAAGAGCCTTAATAACTAAATAATGATGGATTTGAATCTTACTGCTCTCATTCGAACAGCTTTCACTTGAGATGCCGCAATGCAAATTTGTTTAATCTTGCACCATGTTTAATGTTTTTTTTCTTGTTGTAAGATATTGTTTGGCACTGTGTTTCAAAAGTGTTTTTAAAAAAATTTGAAAATTTTCTTTTTTATATAGTTTTGAATTAATATGTTTTTGATGTTTTCAAATCATTTTGATGTGCTGATTTCAAAAATGATTTTTTCAAAAATAAAAAAATATTATTGACATATTTTTCTAAATGAAAAGCATTTTGAAAAGCAACAGCAACCATACTTTCAAGCAAGCATACCTTCAAACACGCGGGAAAATCATTAAACTTGGTTGATTCTTGCACAAGAGAAAAAATAACAGTTGCGACTTGCAACCGTTAAACATTAGCAAACAAGCTATACGTGCTGGCATCGAGAATTATTTGCCGAATTGAGGATATTGCCCCCAACACTCCTACTGCCGAACAGATTATGGCAATTGATGCGTTTCCCCAAAACATCAAGCCCTTCTTGGATGGCTTGAAAGTCACATTGTAGAATATCACAGGCAAAATGAAGTCTAGAGGAATGAATCCAAATGCTCCAATCACTGCATTAATATCACCGAAGAAAGGAAACATTGCAGCAATAGCTGTGGCTATGATTACTGATAATGACCGGGAAACCAACCTTGGCACAACATTGCGGATGGAGAACTGATCAGACTTTGCATCTGCAAACTTCCGTTCAAACACATCATTTGTTGGCTGCAAGTAAACCTGCACAAACAGAAGCATTCTGATTAAATCACTGCACGAGGTGTAATTCACGATTTCGGCAATCGCCGTGAATAATGTTCTAAGCCACTTATGCGTAATTGCAAGGATTAATGCTTTGCAAAGAAGGTATAATGCGTTGAAGTCGGTTTGACTTTGTTCTTGTAGCTAAACTGAGAATGTGTTAATGCTTAGAAACATAAAGATTTTTCGTTAGAAATCTGTGTGACAAAGAAGAACCCAGGTGTCTAATGACATTATCATCCAAAACAGGACTGGCCTTCACTGACTGCCATTTCTAGCTAGCAGCAATGAACATCTTACCACGCTGACGGCTGCTACTTGCAAGAGGGTGAGAACATTGATCATCAAGAGAACCCAAGTGGGAAGTAAAGGCTTTTCGTCAACCATAAAATTAGTTAAAATTACTCCCTTAGTCTGATTGCCAAATGCCCAATATCCAGAGATTGCAACACTGAAAAATGTCATTATTATGACAGCATAGCAGACCAGTAGACCTTTGAACATTTTCCCCTCGACCGGAGGTGCTACAGTTGCCTACAAACAGAAAGAGAACACATTGAGGACATTAGTCCTTCCAGGAACCGATGTCTGCCGTTTTACTAATCTATAAACAAACCTTGTATAACAAAGAAAACCTGTATTTCAGGAATAATTCCATTTCCGTAGGTTGTAGCAATGATTGAAATAGCATTGAAGGCTCCAAAGACTCGATTCTGCATAGCTCCAATGATAGAATAGTCTTTTGGAGGCGCGTTCTTAGAGTTTCCTGCAAGGGATATAGAACATGGATCAAGGACAAAATATCCTTGAAGGATTTTTATGTATTCCTTTCTTTTTTCCTCTTACCTATATGAACAGAACCAGCCGTGGTACAAGCACTGTAAGCAAGGGCAAGGACTAGAGAGACAAGGTTGATATGCCGTAGGGAGTGGAAGGATGGAATCTGAGCCAGGATTAGCATCAGGATGCCAAAAATACTAACAAATTCGTACAGCTGCATGCTTCCCTTTGGAGTAGAGAGCAAGTAAATGAACTGCCAAGAAGGGGAAATACACCAGAAAACCAACCATCATAACTTTCTCTTGTCAATCCTTTATTAGCTAAACCACTACTGTAAACTGACCTTGAGACTCTGCCCCCCAAGAAGAATGCAAGCAATAACTGCACCATAGCATACACCAAACTGAATCGGACCAACAAAGTATCTCCCCCATGCTGGTCCTATAAGAAGACCATGAATTGATCGTTACAAAAATCATTTTTTGCTGCAATACATGAATCTTAATATTAAGCCTGTAGAGACAAGTTAACCTTATACTGTTTACATACCTAATATATCTTCAGCCATGACCCTGAACCTGAGCTGACGCCTCCCTATCTGAGCATGGTGCTCAAGAACTAATGAAAGAAGATTATAGGAATAGAATGTTATCAGAGCTGCCAGTGTCAGGCATAAAACACCAGGAAACCAACCCATCAAGGACAGGGCGTAGGGAAGACTAAGAAGAGCCGGAGCCACAATTGATGTTGTCAAATGGTATCCACAGTGCAGCCATGAACCTACCACAACACAAAAATTAATTTGCCATATCATATTCTAAGCATTTAGTCACTCAAAGTACCAGTGTTTTACTGTTACTGTTGGGTGTGG